AATAGACTATGTTGGGAAAGGTGTTGTGTGTAGTGACCCTGCTGGGTCTGACGCTAATGACAATAAAGACACTGTAACCAGCTAGTAATTATGAAAAACAGGAGGGAATGTTAGAGTTTATTGAAGGATAAAAGTGTTTTCATAATGTGTTTTCATAACTGTGTTTTCATAATATATTCTCATTGCTGTGTTACAAGGAGCATTATGGAGGAACAGAGAATAGTCTGTTCCGTGGACCATACACACACACACACACACACACACACCCACATGACTGAGAGTCACAAGATTCACACTAACAAATAAGGCGTTGGTCAACACCACATGATTGTCATGTTACTGTATTGTTGAAATAAAAAGAATGCACTGGGAGAAGGCGAGGGGAGTTGGTTAAGGAGTTGACATGACATGTCACTCGCTGATTCTCCTTGCAGCAAGTAAACTTGAAACATGAGTACTGTTATCTTTGTTCACTGGGTTCTGGTTATTGAACCGAGCTGGGGTTTACCCTTACAAAGTAATATAGAAATACCCCACAATGACACATAGCCGCTCGCGGGGGTTTAATCTGCGCGCCAGGGTAGCTTGTTTTGCGCGCTAGAATATTGACCCAATTCTGGCTCCATAAAAAACTGTTATGATAATGACCTTACATGTGTACATATATTTGTTTCTTTGTGGGGGGTCCCCAAACTGTTTTAAAGATCCCATGTCATGGCCATTTCTACTGATCATATTTCCATTGTTGAGGTCTACTAGAATAGATTTAAATTGTGCAATTTTCCATAATAACATTGGTTCCTCATACAGCATCTCTGTATAGTATGTGTATTGACCAGGTATTCACTCTCTGTCCTAAACGGCTTGTTGGAGCTCTTGCCCCCCCCCCCCCCCCCCCACTCCCTGTGAGCCTAGTGTGCTCTGATTGGTCGGGACGTTGCAAGGCTCGTTGCGAGGCTCGTTGCGAGGCTCGTTGTGACTGCGAGCTGCTGCTGCGAGGAGCGGACAGGTTTCCGGGTCGGCGATACAGCGAGAACAAGCGAAACTCATCTTGAGCACACACAAACACTCACAGCCGAAGTAAAAACAATAAGTGTGGCTTGATATTGAGTAAGAAAAAGGCTTATAATGCTTGGAGAATGGGTCTGCGGAGAGCATTTCTCCGCGATCCCAACTCGTCTATTACCAGCATTCAGGGAGCTCTATGCACGTCATTGGGGACTCCCTGTTAGTTAGCCAAGGGATCCAGATGCCTGTACTACGAAGCCGGTTCAACATAACCTGGATATGTTTGAGTTAGCCGGTTGGCCTAATCCAAAACATACGCGCTCTCGCTAAGCGGTCCTACGACGCTGGTTATCAAGTGGATCGCTCAAGCCAGCCGTGTCCTATAGTTAGGTGCGCGTTCACATGAAAGGGGTAGTATTTAGAGCATTCGACCAATCACAAACATGGACAAGCATACTGACAGCGCAGCGTGTCACACTTCCTGAATGAAAAGTCAACTATAATATTAGACATATGAAGAAGTTAAACTTTAAAAATCCATGACTTAAACACTTTATCCAGGATAAAAGCCACATAGCTGCACCTGCAAGCACAGCTGGTAAAAGAAAAAGCGTTTGAATGCGTACATTCACGGAGCGTCCACACAACAGCGTGCGTTGACGCTTGGAGGTGGGCGTATCTGAAGCTTGGAGATTTTTTGCGAGCAACGCGACCAACAACCAATCACATGAATCTCCCGCCCCCGACATACAAAGCAATAGCAATGTTAAAACGAAGTAAACTGGATATAAAATCCCCAAACAGGCGAAAACCTACCAGTTTCATCCACTGTCTCTGCCACCTCCCTCCATGCCTCGCTCCTCCGGTTTGTATCCCGGTAGATGAACAGAGACTGATCATAAAGCACCGGGTGATTCACTACCGCTATAATGAATTTTCCCTCCATTTTTTGGAATATTAGGAAATGACCTGCGTAGTCTCTCCCAGCATACACGTGGTTTGATTGGCTAGCGCTTGTACTGGCAGATTTGCATAAACGGGATTTCATTGGCTGACGCCTCCGTTGAGGCGTCAAAAGTTGAACATTGCTCAACTTTTGAAGCCAGCAACGCCAGCAACGCTCCACGTCGCTTCCCAAAATGCAGTTCGGCTAAAAGTGACGTCACCCCATTCAAAGTGAATCGGCAGAAGCGTTGGAAGCTTCAACGCACGCCGCTGTGTGGACGGGCCGTAACAGGTTTATGATGTCACTGCCCGTCTAAGACACGATCTGACTTTAATTACATTTGACTCAAGTGTTTCGTCAACTTAATGTGTTGCTTAAAATAATACTTCTGCATACAGTATGTGACACTCTGAGTGTTGCACGGCCAGATACGGCTCAATAAGCTGACTCAGATAATGAAATTATACATTGTGATGTGATATGAATGATAATGGGACACATTGACGTCTGCACTCAGTGCCACGGACTGTAGGTAATTAAGCTTTCTTAACGCTAATGTTATAATAGTCAGATTGCTCTGAAGATGGGAGGTGATATTCTATTAATGTTCACGTTCACACAGTCAGTTGATTTTTGCCGGCCGTCTTTCCTGCAACGGCAGTTTAAACTGTATTTCCTTTCTCCTGTAATATAACTTGATCGCTTTAAACTCCGCACACTGAGCTCTGATTGGTCAGCAGGCAGTGCTTTCACTGAGTTGATCTCTTAGCCTGCAACCTAACCTGCTCTGGAGCAGGTTAGCAGCTCAGCATAAGTTACCATGATCTAGCCCGCTAAAAAGAGAACCAGTGTCGTAGGACCGGAAACCCCGAGTTTTCCCTGAAGTTAGCCCGCTAAGCGAAAATCCTGCTCCGTAGTAGGCTACAGGCCTCTGGTGTGTGAGGTGCTCCGCGGATTCGTCCATTTGGGCCAATCCGGTCATTTGTTGTTGATTTGGGTGTTCACATGTCACAGAACCCAGGAAGCAAACAATGGAAAATGAGAAATCTCCAACGAGGCATTTTGGGGCAGCATAGACAGGTATTTTCTGTGTTAGAGTTTTACTCGCTACAGGGTGTAGGCCTACTCTGAGGGTTTTTGACTCTGCAGACCAAATGGACAACGTTTTGGGGAAAAAACATACAACATTTCTAAACTGTTCCAACCTGACTTTGCACCAATTCGGTAGAATGGCCCATATACTGTAGGCCTATTGTATAATTCTACAAGTAGGCCTACCTTAAAGGTGGGGTATGTAATTTTCAGGGTTGGGTTGTAACGGAATACATGTAACGGCGTTACGTAATCAGAATACAAAAATCAAGTAACTGTATTCAGCTCGCGTTACATTTGAAAAACGAGTAATCTGATTACAGTTACTTTCGTAAACCTGAAGTGAATACATTTTGGATTACTTATTGGAATTATTGGTGGAAAGATTTCCTCACAACATTCAATATTCATTACTAAAGGTACAGCCGAATCATCACAGCCCACAAAACCTATTACCGCCGCAGATGGACCAAAAAAGCGTTTGAAAAAAAATCGCGGGTCCGCTCAGTGAAACAATAACAGCGAAACATGGAGGAACACAAGTCTGCGTTTAAATCGCGTGTGTGTGGTTAAAACACATCAGCCTGCGGTCGCTCTTTCTTTAGCCTTACTAATGATTATTTCTGAAGGTAAACACAGTGAAGGCGGTGCGTGAAAGGCACTGCGTGCTCGTCTTCTCAGAGGCTGAGTTAACCCTCCCGCTGCCTCCTGGTGCTGCAGAGATTTCATGAAGTGAAGGAGGTGTTCCTTCTATAAAACAGCTGTGGGCAGCAGATACTGTGAGAGTCACGGACATGAATTCATAGATCAAGGCAGACTGGTGCACACACTCTCCTGTTTTGCCAATCCGGTGCTTAAACAAATATAGCTCTACACCCCTGGCCGTAATGTCCTTAAAATGAAGTCCGAGTTTGACATTTGAATTCATGTCCTGCCAACACTGGCAGGACAGAAGGCGACACGCTCGTTCTAAGCCGTGTCCCTCACTCCTCACATCCCAAGCTGCATCCCCAAAAAGTTAATTATGTTGTTACATCGTTTCAGATGTTGTGTTTCAGTTGTGCTCTTGATAAGCCATTAAAACAGTAAAAACACATTCCTTTTGCTTTTTGTGTCTCCTGTACACCAAAACATACCCATCTGTGATGGAAAAAGAAAGTAATCCAAAAGTAATCTAAAAGTAATCTGATTACGTTACTTTTTTAAGACACGTAACTGTAACTGTATTCGGATTACTTTCAGAGCCATGTAATCAGTAATCAGTAACTGATTACATTTACAAAGTAACCCTCCCAACCCTGGTAATTTTGGAGAAACCAGCTCGTGCGCTCGAATTTGAAAGTGCACAACCGGAAAAAATGTGCCTCTTCCTTCAGATTTCCTTTAGACTTCCTTACAGAGCCCCTCCTCCAACACACGAACGCGCACATGACCAATGAGGGCACGAGATACATTTGTGCACAGATCTACGGCTTCCACAGATGACGTTTTTGTTATAGATGTTTTGTCAAAGCACTTAAGTTAAGATATTCATTGCTATCGGGATGTTAAGAGCATTCCATGGAATATCACAAAAAGTGTATCTCGAGCCAGTTTCTCAAATTTACGTACCCCACCTTTAAGTCCAGTAGTTTGATTTTTAGAAATGCATTATGGTAAAAGTTTGACTAAAGCTCCTTAATAAATGTAGTAAAATTACATTAGGCCTATTCCCTTCTAAATGTAGTGGAGTAAAGTATTAGCATTCAATGGAAATACTAAAGGACGTCGAAATGTGTTCCTGAGTACAGTAGCCTACTTGAGTGAATGTACTTTGTTACTTTCCCGTAGCCTACTGCATTTAAACATAGAGGTAATCAACATTGCCGGGGTCACAATAGGACTATGAGCTGGCAGATACTACAGGCAGTAGTAGGTGACGATGTAAAGGTTGCCTCTGCTGTTATCTGTAACACGCTGCTGGACTGTTATCTGCCCTCCATCGCCGGGCCGGGGCAGGGTGGCTGGGCTCCGGGCCGGCTGTGATGACACCACAGATCCGTTAGCAGCGCACTGCAGCCTCCTCCTCTTCCATCATGGCTCCCTCCGCAGACAGGCACGGATACTGGGGGCAGCCGACCTCAACGCTGGACTGGTGCGAAGAAAATTATGTCGCCACCTTTTACATTGCGGAATTCTGTAAGTAAAAAGAAATGCGTCATATTACTGAAATTTGTGATTGTTAGGGTTCGTTTAAAGAGTCTTTGGTGAAGGACGGCCATCATGTGTGGTGTACGTACAGTCTCCCCTCGATAACGTAAACAAGAAGCGGGAGCAGCGGCTGGTGTTATGGTGTAAGCTCGGCGGATATTAGTTTAAGCTAAATGTTAGCTAGCTCTTATGGCATTATAAAACTTAATGAGGAAAAATAAAAGCTTCCGTCGCCGATATACAGTCCAACTGTTCTGAGTGGAGCTGTTTGGCACAGCTTTACTGTACGTGAGTGTTCAAGCAAACGGTATGACACAGACACCACAGTTTCACTATATTCCACGCTTGGAGTGATTTGTAGTATTTCAGTCCAGTATTGAGCGTGCTCTTGAACGTTTCCCTTTACAGTGAATTCACAATGCAACAAATGAAACGTGATAACATATTCCCCCAATGCTATCAGGGCTTAAACTGGTTCTGCAGGATCCGTTATCTGAGATTTAAACGTTGTTATTGTAACACTGTTAAAAAACACACCATGTCAGCTGGATTTTTGACACATAGATTTTTCTAGCATGATTTATTTCAAAAGCATTAACCAAACTACATTGGACAAATACTCCTACTGAAACATATACTCTCTATTGTGCAGACAATTTCTAGTCTTGGAAGTGAACTAGGCATTCCTATTATTCTCTTTTTGTGATCCCTTTTTACTGTGTGTTAGGGACCTTCCAGTTATTATTATCTTATTATCAATGAGGTTAAAGGTAGCCTACTACTGATGCAACAGATAGTCCAAGGTAAACTGAAGCAAAGTGGGTCAGAGTTGAGTCATATCATTGAATGTCTCATCTTCAGTGTAGTTGTCCACAGCAAGAGACCTTCGTTTGTAGACACTTCATTTATTAGTAATACAAGTGCTACTTGGAGGCATTAGTCTGGTAGTAGAGTAGCCTTACAGCATTCAGCATACTTTACAAATTAATATCATTGAAATATTTTTTAACATTGGCGCTGATGTAAATGTCACATGTTAAGGATACTGACAGTTGAAGATTTTGTTAGCACTAAAGACACGCTGCCTCGCTAGATAGTTGTTCCCGTTGCTAGGTATTGTTTGGCATTTAAACGTTGATTCAGGTTACAAAGAAAAAACATTGAAACAATAGGGCATGATGACGGGAAAAGAGTCTCTCAGGGGACAGTCATCTCAGCATTATCAGATGTTTGTAGTTTTCATTGGAATAAGAAAAAGAAAACATTCACATGCTGTAGTATTCTTGGCATGTTTTCATTAACTATCAGTAAACAAAGTCCACACATTTTTTAACAGCCCCTCCAAGGTCTCGGCCTTTATCAGACACAGACTAAGCAAAAGTGTCAAAATACCAGGACATTCAGTATTAGTTTTCAAATGACTTTATGTCCTGGTAGGCCTGATTGTTTTGCACACCTTAGTTTATATATCGCCACACCCAATAGAGCAACATCAGGAAGATCAATGTTGACCATTTTTTTTATCAGGTTCTCTGTGGGCCTGATAAGTACTCATAGTCAGGGGTGCACATAACTTTTTTGCCCTGGTTCTCAAAGGAGCACCTGGAGATGTTGCTTGGTGCTCATCCTTAAAATGAAATAAACCGTAACTTTTGAGGGGTCTTGACTTGATTTGCCAGACACATGGCACTGAACACACATGCTGAGGTGAACACAGAACACACATGCAGAGGTGAACACAAGACAACATTAGCACGACCAGTAATCCTACAAGCTGTCATCACTACCCTCCTGACTGTTCTCCTCACTGTCTTCCTCTCTGTCAGACATGGTAGCTGATGATGTAGGCCTACTTCTTTCTCTCTGGTTGAGTCTGCGATTAGCTGCTTGCATCCACAAGTCAACAGCTGGGTTTGGGTCGAAAGTCTCTGTTATCATCTTAGACAAGTGGATGTAATCAAATAAGTATGTGAACATAACCAATAACCTACCATAGCCAATAACAAATGAATGTAACTTATTTTATTTATGTTGTTCATTCATATCTTATTTTACCTTAACATTTATTTATTAATGCATTTTTTTTATCTCCAGTTTTAAAGGATATTTTTGGTTCCTGTCCTATAGTATACATTGGAATGATTTCAAACCTGTTTATCCCAATAATTATAAAGGAGTGCCTTGGAAATATGTGTTTACATAAATTGTGACCAAACCGTTTGAACTTAGACTAAAGTGAACTATCTAAACACTCAAGAGTCCTTTACCTCACTGAGCTGTAGTTATCAGCCTCTCAGTCTGACTGGAGAGGACTCTCTCTCCACATTATTGTTGAAACATCTTCTTCTTATATCCGTTAGAGCAGCTAGCACCAGATGCTAATAACAACAGCGCCGGAACCGGTGCACCCTCCCTCTCTCCCTCGCTCACTCGCACTTTGGCTGTGAGCTGCGGGCGCCAGATAAGCCAACATCCCCCATTTTCATCACTTACAGCGCCCATCGTACAGGGCAAATGAAACGTGTAACCGGGGTGAAAAGGGTGTTACATTTACTTAATTATGAATGTTGTTACATCAAGGCCGAAAATTAGGATGAGCCCCAACGGTCAAAAATGTTTTCTTCCCTCCCAGAGCTGCCAGCGCAGCGCCTCCCCGGATCTGGCGCCCTAGGCGAACATCTATTATGCCAGTGCTACGGGCTGGCCCTGAGTTCATTATCATAGGGTCATATGCAACTCGCAAATATATTTCTCTCTCTCTTCTCTCTTCTCTCTCCATTCTCCTCTCTTCTCTCTTTTCTCTTTTCTCTTCTCCCTTCTCTCTCTTCTCTCTCTCCCTCTCTCTCTCTCAATGTTGGTACGCAAATGCGCCTTTTTTCAAATGACACAGTGCTCTTTTTTTGGCGGAGGTGCGCACCAGTTATGTGCAGCCCTGCTCATAGTTTAGTAAAAACACAGCAAGGGCCTGGCGTGATGAGATTTGCTCACACAATCACAGTACAGTTTCCAACAACGTCCTTGAAGCCTTTTTCACTCCCCGCCCCAGGCTTATCAGCTGTATAATAAGCTGATAAACCTGTCACACTCAGACACAAATGGGCCTAATTAATACTCTGTTCAACAATGCAATACACAGAGTGCATACACATTGTAAAACAATAAGAGACACAACTAACAATTGTTGATTAATGATTTGTATGCCAATTGTTTTCACCCTTATTTATTTATTGCTAAGTCTGTAAAACTTGGAGCAAATTCAACAAGGAAAAATCACAATGTCCGAGAGCCCAAGGTTACTTCATCAAATGTTTTCCAACCCAATGTCCCAGTCCACCAATAATATTCATCCATCCATCCATCCATCCGGAGAGGCAGGGGAAGCATTGACAGGTCACCATTCAATCACAGGGCTGAAACACACCGACAGTCATTCAATTCCAAATTCAAATCTAAGAGCACCAAGAGAAAACCCACACCCCTCTCCTAGAAAGGCCAAAGTGCATTGGTGAGTTACCACCCAGAACCTTCTTTCTTTGAGGCTGTAAGACTCAAACTTACAATTTAAAAAAGAACAGGTTAATTACGGTGGGAGTCAGTGTGGGTATAAATATAAAACAGTGAATGACGAATAATAGAAAACAAGGAAAAACCAGCCTAAGGAGTAGGGCTAAATATAGCACATACTGTATGGGCGATAACAGAACACCTTAAAGAACTCATTATACCCTACTGTCCTACTAGGGCATTGCGTTCCAAGAATGCAGGGTTGTTGGTTGTTCCTAGAGTCTCTAAAAGTACAATGGGAGCCAGAGCCTTTTCTTGTCAAGCTCCACATTTGTGGAATCAGCTTCCAGTTTGTGTTCGGGCGGCAGACACCCTATCCGTTTTTAAGAGTGCGCTTAAGACCTTCCTTTTTGATAAAGCTTATAGTTAGGGCTGATTAGATTCAGCCCCTAGTTTTGCTGATATAGGCTTAGTTTGTCGGGGGACATCTTACTTCTTCCTTCTCTCTGTCTATACCTGTGTACTCTCATGTTCCGATTAACCCAGCTTCCCCAAATGTCTTTCTTTTTGGTGTCTGTATACGCCGGGATCCGGAGTCATGGATGATCCTGCGCTTCCCTGTCCTGGATCTTGAGTCGTGGCTGTGGTCCTGGATCATAGGTCCTGGATGGATATCCTCGTGGATTCATCTTCCTATTATACACACATGCATTTCCAAACATTTGGACTACCTATGTTGCAAATGTATTATCTTTTCAATTTACACACGGCATCTATTGCACGTCTGTCCGTCCTGGGAGAGGGATCCCTCCTCTGTTGCTCTCCCTGAGGTTTCTCCCATTTTTCTCTTTAAACTGTGGTTTTTCTTCGGAAGTTTTTCCTTGTACGATGTGAGGGTCTAAGGACAGAGGGTGTCGTATTGTCATACTGATATTTTGTACAAACTGTAAAGTCCACTGAGACAAATGTAACATTTGTGATATTGGGCTATATAAATAAACATTGATTGATTGATTGATTGATTGATGCCAACCCCCCAAAACTATTTAATGTACTTAGGCCATGAAAAATAGCAATTTAAGATTTGTGAAACGCTTTCTATGTCAAACAATAGCTAGAATGATGGGGGTTATATTAAATCATGAAGACCTGTGCTCACCTATACAAACCTCAAAAATCAACTATTGTAAGTAATGGTACACCAGTTGTAAAATGGGCCGTTAAAAATAACAAAGAGGCTGATAGTCGATACTGATGATTTGTTTTTCATTTATTTTGTTGTTATTTGTATTTATGTTTTGACAGCGAACAATATATACAACCTTTATTATAACTTTCTTTTGTATGTAAAAGATTATATTTGTTTTAAATAACTCCAAATAACTTTTATTATTGATATGGTCTGTGATGTTTTTATTTAATAGTTACATTATTTAATATACTTTTACTTAATTGTTCTGCTATTATTGTCTTGTGAAGCACTTTGTAACATCTGTTTAACAAAAAATATTTAAATTTTTTACATGACTAATTACTTAAACAATGCAAACCTAAATAATAGAAAATGACAGCAATCGTAGTTACAGTTTGCAAACCCCGTTCATGCTGGTGTTATAATGATCACTACATGTAACCCAGCCTGTCTCCCTCTCAGGTCCCTCATGTCACCCAATCACCCATCAGAGGTCATTCAGAGGTGTTCAAATGTCGTATACAGGGTTGTGTCGCCTGGATCTAACTTGTCTCTGGTGTCTTATTGAACAGGGAACACTGTCAGCAACCTGATTATGATCCTTCCTCCCATTTACGGGGCCATCCAGACGTTTCGAGACGGCCTCGAATTTCGCTACGTCTGCTCTTTCCTCGGACTGGCAGGTAAGTCTGTTGAAACCACAAATTACCCGGCTCTGCATTATCAAACAAACCTCTTGTTTACATATCGTAGCTATTGAGAACAGACTGTCCGGGTGTTCTTCTGATCTCATTAATCACATTGTTTAAGAATGTCTTGACTTTCAGTTTTAATGTTTTATGGGGTTGTCTGTCCATTATCCAGCTGTTGGCGTTGGTTCCTGGTGCTTCCACATGACGCTGCTATATGAGATGCAGGTGGGCTACAGTAAAACATTAAATTGTTAATATATTATCAGCAAAACTACATACAATTATCTCAATTTGACGAACATGCATGAATCAGACTCGCAATGAAATGGAAATATTTGCTGCCTATTGCAATGTCTTAATGAAAGACTGCAATCTTATAAATGTACTGATACAGTATGTGTTTTCTTTGTGTTCTGATTTGCAGTTACTGGATGAGTTGCCAATGATCTACAGTACATGCGTCTTTGTCTACTGCCTGTAAGTGGCTCAACCTTTTAGATGAATTGCTGTTTAATTACTAACGACGTTGACTGAGAAAATATTTGTTGTGATTGTAAAGTGAACTAGTGAATCACTCATCCATCACTTGATCCACTACAAGAAAGTACAGGGTGTCTTTTTCAAGTGACTGTGAGGCATTCTATATTGTAAAGGACACATGATTCTTAACTGATTCTAGATCTGTTAGGGCCTGACCCTGACTAAAGATATCCAGTAGATGTTAAGGTTTCTATGTTAATTGATTAAACGGAAGGAAATAGTCAGACATCCAGAGGGGGAGTCCTACCTGGACAATGGAAGCTGCACCCAGAGAATGTAGAGGATTGCCTACTGCTTTAGCAAAGCTAAACATTTTCTTCAGGGCAACTCACCTTGCCCTCCTTTAACAGCAGATAGTCTACTCTATATAGACTGAAAATCCCCCTTTTTTAACTGTGTGCCTTCAAAATCTAAAAATAGTGCGAAGGATTTGGACACCGGCCTTGAATCCTTTCAGGCAATGTGTTGCTGTTAGATAACAGGCTGGATGGCGTTGGTGGCTGTGTCTCTTTTGGAGATATCAGGCACTGCGATTATTGTTGATTTCAATGGATGCTGCCGTTCAGCTTTCTTTTTCTGTGTGCTGATCTGCCAGAGCAGATGATTAATTTCACTGAAGTTGGGACTTCATGTGGCAAATAAATTGATCAATTAATTGATTTTAGAGTGTGGAGATATATCTCCACTTAGAATAATGTGTTACACATGCATCCTTTCATTGTATCTTTTTTTCCCTTTATTGTTCCTAAAGCTGAACATGTAAAATAAACACCTTTTTCTTTTTTTTTAGATACGAGTGTTTCAAACAAGAAAACACCATCAGTTTATTTCCCATAGCATTATTAATAATCTTCAGTGTCTCAGTCACATTGGTGAGTATCCACTTTCACTTTTACACTGATTAAGTTTGAACCATAATGTACATAAAACACAATGTCCATCATTTATTTTGAGTATTTCCTCCTGCAGGTGTACTTACAGTGGAAGGAGCCAGTCTTTCACCAGGTAAGGTTTTACTTTGTTTCTTGCTCAACTGTATCAGATCGCTCATTGTTTGCTGTTTGGGCGCAGCGGGCCTGAAGTCAAGTCAACCTTAACTAAACATTGGGCTTGCTAACTCAGCACAAAAACACTTAGTGCATGTTGGATGTTAAACACAAAGTAGCATTTCATACCAAAGACATTATGCAAAACGATTCAAAATACAACATACAGGATTTTAAATGGAGTTTGCACCTAAAACTCAAATATATATTTTAAAGTGTTAACACTTTTTACACTTTTCTTTGTCTTCTTACACTTAAAAATAAAAAAACATCTAATACTCCATGGTTGGGAGTGTACCTAGGCTCAGAAGAAACCCTGTATTTATCTTTTTACAGTTAGGGTGTAGCTATTAACCCAAATACAATGCCCTAAACTCAACACAAAGCCATGTCTGTTAAAGGACAATGTGACAGAGCAGCCTTTGTTTACGAATCACACTGCTTTATGGTGGTTTAGAGCCCGACTGATAATGGGGACTTTAGCTTCCTACTTCCTTTAAATATAGATTGTGCTGACTGCATGTACTTATTTTGGAATGGTTTTCTCATGTATGTGGATATGTGTCAAAAAAATTAATAGCTCCAATAAGGGCTCTGACTGATGACTGGCTGTATATGCTCATTACACTCAAGGAAACAAAACTGTTTGGCTGAACCACATTTGAGAGACAACAATGCTTGTATAGAGAGGTGCAGGAATGAGTCCTCAAATTTGGAAAATGGGTTAGTATTTTTCCACATCCGGTTCCCTCGTCTCGAAGTTAACGGTTTTTGAGAGTGTTTTTGGTTAGACCTGTGGTTAACACAAGCTTAAGAGATTCTCATATTTTATTCTACAACATACGCATATGTCAGTAAGGACTCCACTGGTGAACATCTAAACTGTCCTGTGTTAAAAAACGGCGGTTGCTAACAAGTGGCTAAATGAGACTACTAAAGCCATCACAGCTAATATCAGCCGCTTTTAGCTTGGTGGTGGTGACATAAAGTCATGTGACCGTGATATAGTTAGTTTAAAGCCTAACGTTATCTTTTTACATCAATGGAAAAACATTTTTTAAGGGAGCCCTTGTGATGCTTACCACCGTGTCGGCCTACAGAAATATATCATTACTGCAGCGCTCTATCTGAAAGGGTTATGCTAGAGGACTGTGTTCAAAGTTTATGTTATCAATAATATCAATGTACATTGGCTGCCTGGAATTCAGCAATGGGTTCCCACCAGAGCTCAGTCATATAAAATGTGTCACGATCTGTCTGTTTTATTTTGTCCTGTCTAGATCTGTCTTTGTTTTCCTGTTTTAGTTTGAAAAGTGTTCCAGTTTAATGATTGTGATTGAAAAGCCTAAGGAGGCTGGTAAACATTGCAAAGAGGGATTTGTAAATGTAACCATGTTGTAGCCGGAGAAAGGCTAAACCATATCAAAGAATACATTTATTAACTACATTATCTCATTTAGCTGTAGCTTTTATAAACAAACAAAAAGACGTATTGACCAGTTATGAGTCAACTGCTTTCCAGCTGAGCCACAGCACACACACTGAATCTACCTGAAAACACTGCATACTATTTATTCCTGTATTTATTCATTTATTTATTCATTCATGTTTTTATTCCTACATTTATTTATGCTTTTATTGATTTATACTTATGACATGTTCCGACCTCTATATAAGTGAGGGTCTGAGCTCTTTTAATTCCATCGTGTCACCGGGCCCGGGTACAGGAGGGGTCATATGGTTGTTATTATACATCCATGGATATTATGAGCATTGTGGTTCAACCATAGGGTTCAACCGATCTGAAGCACTTTCTGAAGCAGTCACGTGGTATCGACAGGCAGCGAGGCTTCTTTTGTCATCGGTGACGTCACTGGCCCAAAACGATACAAGCCTCGATACAAACTTCACAAAAAAGCTTCGGGGATTACTCGACACACGCTCCGAAGCCTCGGCGCAATACGTAACATCACTACCGTCCAACAAAATGTATAAATAGTTGGGAGACAGAATGTTAATTTGACGTTGCCATGTTTCAAGGCCAAACATAATGAAATGTGTCTTTTCCCAGGTCATGTATGGAGCTCTAGTAGCTTGCCTAGTGATGCGATCTCTCTTCATTGTTACATGGTATGTTTTTCAAGAGCGTTCATTGTTAAACATTTATATATCAAAGGAATTATTGTTCATCAATCTTCTGTGTAAGAAATAACTTGCTAATGGGTTTCTTTGTGGTTTCTGTTTCAATGTTAGGGTGTACCCATGGCTCAGACCGCTGTGTTACACCTCCTTAGGAGTCTTTTTGTTAGGGTTCCTACTGTGGAACATCGACAATATCTTCTGCAACACATTAAGGTGAGTATTAGACATGGAACAATAGTAAGGTTCCTCTTATTATTGAAGCATTTGCTTATTTTTTGGAATTCGGACAGCAGTTTTAATAATACTGGTTGCAAATGTTTACATAAACAGTCCGTTACATTAATCAAGGACAGGAATATCTCTCAGATTATTTACTGTGAAATAAGAATCTTAAATTGAACTGTATTTTCTTATCCAAAATGCAGAATGCATGTTTAGATTTTTGATTGATAAAGTACAATCAATAAAAATACTTTTATAAAGACAACTTATTAGCACCCTCTTTAGAAGAATCCCATACAGTTGGAGATAGAATTCATGTTTTTTTCTGTCTCTCAGAGCCAGTAGAGAAAAACTTCCCTCCGGTGTTGGAGTAGCAACACAGTTCCATGCCTGGTGGCACATCTTCACTGGCCTTGGATCCTACCTGCACATACTTCTAAGGTAAGCTCCAGCTGTGAGTTTTATTGGAGTGAGCTAGTTCATTTATTTATTTAAAATCTAACATTCATCTTCTTTTAGCCTGCAGATCAGGTCAACCTACCTCAAGCACAGACCAAATATAAAGGTAGGTTTAGCCCCAAGCCTTTGTAATTATCATAGCTTTTATTTTATTGCATGATTGTATTAATTCAGTCATTGAATTATTATTCAAAGTCTATTATTATTATTTTCCTGTCTTTGTTCAGTTTGTTTGTGGAGTTTGGCCCACATTGCACATTGAACCACAGAAGACGAGCTGAAATAAAGGGTTAGTGACCAACTGAAGGATGGTGACTGCCATATCCAGACACCATGGGAGCAGGGAGCTGCCAATGCTCACTGCTGGGACCTCCGCCAACAGCTAGGGGGCAGGTGTACCCCAAGGCACTATCCTAGGAACCCTTTAGTTCTGCACTGTGGCAACACTGAGTCCAGTTTTAAGATTTTGTTTAATCACAAATATTTATTAGACTAGTGTTTATTAGATCTTATTGAAGTTTTAATGCAAATATGATGTGTAGTCTTCTGAAGTGATACATGTCGAAGGGGACGGGGTGTTATCTTAATTAGGGTTTTGGAAAAATTGAAAAATATTCAGAATTTCATTAGCATATTTATTGTTGTATGTTTGAATCTCCTAAGTCTAAAAATATTCAAATGAGTCCCTAATTATTATACCTATAACAGGTTTACCTAGCGTTTGTGCAGTTTTAGAACCAGCTGAGGGTGCTCAACTCATAACACAGTGTTGTCACATCCTTTTTCAAGGCGTATTGCTTTTGGATGTGCTCACTTTATTGTATATGGGATAGAAACTGCCTACTAGAATGTGAAAGTAGTAATGTGTTATTGTAATTCAGAACTAAGCCATTTTACAAATGTTCCTATGAAAACATGCCATGACTGGATTGTTAATTTTCTTTTTTTTTCATTGCCAAAGTTGTTCTGGGTTTAAAACAGTCAACCATCATTTGTATTTTACGTCATTATAACACACCATTAGAGAATTGTTATTCTGTTCGGGACAGAGCTAAGATTTTTCCATGTACACAAAACAAGTTGAACAACTTTGGACAGCTCAAGTTCCTGGATAAACACACGCCGTCTTTAAAGAGATACTGCACACACATTTGTGCTCTTTGCAGGACTAAAGTTGTACTGCCACCCCTCAAATCCATACATTTTGACTTTTGGTGATCAGAATTACATTGACTCTCCCTCAGGGTGTGTTATGTTGAGAAACCTGTTTGTTTGCCTGTGACCAGAATCTTGCTAATCTGATCAGCCACAAATAATGCAAACATGCAGAAACATCAGTGGAGATCATCAGCTAATGTTTGCAGCTAGCTTGAAGGGAAGATGGAGTTAAATGCTGTAGTTAAAACTCATTTATAAAAGCCAGTCTGTTAATATAACTGTAAATGTTAACGTATAGCCAAATGAACAAGTGAACACATAGAACATGTCTAAATATTTGCATCCCCATAAGCCGTAGGGTTGGGATTCAACACACAGACAGTTATTCCTCCTTTATACCTGTCTTCACGCTAAAACACAGAAATAGTATTTGAGTTTTCTCCCTAATTATTAGAAAAATACTTTATCTAAGTAAGCATCAACCTTGATTTTGAAGACGTAACATTCACTACTTTTTAATCATGATAATAATGCATTGTTTGTTTCATGTTTTTACACCATTGCATGGAGGTGGAGAGTCTAATGGCACATATCTTGGCGAAACAGTTCATTATACAACCACTCGACACATTGCCCTTTTATCAGACATTGCCAAACATGCCTCTGTGAATGGAGGAGATGCTATCTACCAACTCATACATTCATTTTCCACAACATTGAAAAAACTGAAACATTGACTTTCAATAAGTGTATTATGTCAACGAATTTCACATAACTGTATTAGGTTCAAGTCAGTTTATATTATAGTTATGTTAGTTCATACTAGGTTTCAGTTTTTTCAGTGTATGCATACAGTACATGCTATATCACTAAATCTGAAACGCTTGGGTTTAACACTAGTGTGAACCCAGTGTTACAAATATTCATAAGCACAATGTATGAAAGATAAGTATTAACTGTTCAAATGTCTGAGTGGAATGTTCATTGTGTGTTATTATCTTGGCATTCCTGCTCATCAGTAGAGCAGTTGTCAAAGAGGGTGCCTTATTGTTACCTTGCAAGTAATCCAAGTTGCCTTGATGTTTGTGATCAAATAACCATTCTACTGTCCCTGTGTTGTGCAGCGTGCCCATATCTCTTTCTCGTGCAAAGTTTGTGCCTGGTTCTTTGGCCTCCCATTCATTTCATGTGTCCAACATTTTGGTTACAGTCCGTTCCAATGATATTAACTGTGTCTGTAGGTGAATAACGTTCTGTATCTGTTCAGGCCAGAAGAGTAAACTCTGCCACCAGTTATGTTTAACTTTGGTCAGTCTTTATGATAAAAAGACATGCAGACTAAATGTCTACAGAAGAAATTAACTTTGTCTTTTGTCTTTTTGAAACCATACACTGCATTTCACTTTTTTTGGAAGCACAATTGTGCCCAGACTGGCCACTTATGAAACATGATGTGAATAATTGTAGAGGGCTGCAGTCCCTATGACCATGGAAATAGTAACATTTTACTATTTAATTTCATATGGATGCGAGCATCCAAAAGCATGGCCCAAAATTAAACTTCATGTGGATCAGATTTTTTCTGAACAAAGTAAAACCCTAAAGATTAAAAAAGGCAGCGACCAACTCCTTTGGGTTGGAGAGAAAAGCTCAGACACTGCAGACCATTGGAAAGTGTACGAACAAAGAGCTTTTAACACTAAAGATCCCATGATAACCCACAAGATCCCAGACAGGACATGGAAAAGAGTTCTGTTCACATGGAACAATGAGAACATGTAGTCACAGTAGACGGTTACAGCAGACATCTCAAGCTTACCAAACGAATATCACAACAGCCTCTGCTGTGATACAAACCCTGAAAGCATCCTTGGCCAGACATACCAGAGGCTGTTAAGTCTGATAATGGCCCTCAGTATAAATGGAGAGTTTGAAAACATTGCCAGCACACTGGGGTTTACCCATATAACCATCAGTCTGCACTATCCGAAAAGCAATGATCCCGCTGAGCAGGGCCGCCCCTCCCTACACGCAGATGATGCAGAGTGCGTGGGGCCTCATTTTACGCAGGGGGCCTCATCTTATGCGCAAATGCAGCGCAATTATGCGCTCCACAGCAGCGAGGCTCTGGCGGTAACAGTTCACGCACCCCTGCCCCCCCCCGCTGACAGTTCACGAGCGTGTGTGTGATCAAAAAGACCCTTAAGTGTCCTTTTCAACACCTCCATTGACAGCTTCAGATCACCAGCCCAACTGCTTATGAGCCGTCGTCATGGTCAATGCTACCCAGCATGCATCAGCAGCTTCAGTCCCAGTTGGTCAGCCACAGAGATGCTCATGCCAGAAGAGACCACCAGCTTCAGAACAAATATTACAGGTCAGAGGTCATCGCTGCACGAAGGACAAAATATCCCATTCCAGGGTCATGGACACTGAAAACCAGCAGGTGTCATCCAGCCAGCTGGTGCTGACATGATAGCACACACACACACACACACACACGCACACACACACACACACACACACACACACACACACACACACACACACACACACACACACAGCTGAAGGACAAGAGTACAGTCATAACAGTCTCAACATGCCTGGTTGTATGACTCTGGCCTAGATATACTGTTAAGCTAGGACATGCGTGTTATATTCATTATTCTGGTGGCATTAGAACATATTTGTTCAAGGTAGCTTCTGTGTGACTATTGTATGAACTGAGTGAGCAGTTTACTAACCTTTGTCCTGTATCAGCGTTCAGCCAATAGAGGGTAGCATAAGCCAGCTTCTGTTTACCTGCTCTGCTAAATTACAGTGTGCAAAACATCTACTTTTTATATATCCCACTTATTTCAATACATTTATATTATTTGCAGTTACCATCCTAAATGTTTACCTTTAAAAAAAAAACAACTGCTAAGTACTTTCTCATCTGTTGGTCACCTTCAGAGCACAGAAACATCAGGCAGCACCACAACAGCAGTATTTGCATACACAATGTCCCTAATATAACTCATGTTTCTGTAGCACTCCCCTGACTCTAGGGGGGGTTTGCTCTTCCCCTGCATGAGCTGCCATTTTCAGAGTGTATGAAGATATTTTCTCTAAAGGTGCAGGATCATACTTGTTAATTAATCAGAGGTGGAAGAAGTACTCTGAATATTAACTTAGGTAAAAGTAGCATTACGACTGTGTAAACATACTCAGTTACAAGTCCTGCAAGTATTAGCATCAAAATATACTTTAAGTACCAAAAGTACTCATTATGCAGTATGGCCCATTTAAGCACCATATATGTATATACAATAATATAATAAAACATTTTGTATTATTCATTATTGATGCAATAATGTGTTCATCACTTCCAATGTTCCACTTGGTAAAGGTGGGGTTTATTTGAAGCACTTTATAGACTACTGGGTTGCTTAACTTATAATAAATATAAAATGCAATGTAATAAATAATAATATATGATAAGGACTTATTTGATACCTTTGATACCAGAGTCGCTTGTAACTAAACCTCAAATAGATAGAGGACTACAAAGTACAACATTTGCCTTCAGAATGTGGAGTAAAAGTATGAAGTAGCATGATGTTAAAATACTCTATACCTATTTTTTACTTAAGGACAGCACTTGAGCAAATTTACTTAGTGACATTCCACCGCTAAAATTAAGGCTCTTAAAATGACAGAGCTTCATGTGTGACCAAACCTACGTCTACACTTTTTACAGTCACACAGCCACTCACTAACCAGTTCTGCCCCCTTATCCTGCAGAAGATGAGGGACTGCACCTTGAGGAAGTGTTATTCATCGCTGCAGACCATAAACCACATCACGTAGAAGGTTGCTTGAGTTGGACACAGCTCAAAATATGCGTCACATAAGGATTCAGTTACTGATTAATTCCTTTAGTCACTTGGCTCTGTCACTAAGAACTGCCCACAGGTATACATGTGTGTGAGCAGACTGGGGCATGTTGGGACAGAGACAGCCTGTAAACATGTCTCAAGGGCTGGTTGTAATGACAATAATACACTGTAATAAAACTACTATGCACTTTAAAAGCAGACCCTTTATGCAAAAGCACAGACATCTCTCAGACTCCTTTATGATGATGACATCTGCTGATTTGTTATTAGAATATTTTAGGTGTAACTTTTCTCTGTGGTGTAGTTTAGTTTTTGATATTTAGTGCCATACAGTATACCTGTTTAACATGATATTAATTACAATGAAATATGATCATAAGGCTCATATTTAGTAGCAGATAATATCGATAAGCTACTACTAATTAAATTCGATATTTTTACAGACAACCAAGGAACCAAAAAACAAGCTTTGATTTTTGGCAGAAACCAAAGTTTACAGGGAAAACCCCGTGAGTCATCCAACGTCTACGTTTTGGTCAGGGAACCACATATTATGGCATTTTAACAAATACATTTAAATACATTCTTTTTCATACAGACCCGCAAACTTCTATACATATACACACACACACACATACACATATGTATGTACACATGCACACAAATACTTCAGGTTTTGAGGTAAGATTTAAACAAGGTCGGAAATAATAAAACGCTACCAAAACAAAGAAAATAAATTAAAAAGAGGAAAATAAAGAAGAAAAAAAGGTTTAAAAAGAAACTCATGCAAGTAGTCTACTTGTAAAATATGTCTGGACAAGTCTGCAAAAATAAATAGTTTTAGATTACAATCTATTCTGTGATGTAATTCTTCTGCCCATTGCTAAAGGGGGTCAACTGGGGTCAAGACTCTTTCAAAATGTATAGTTTCCTTCATGCACAAGATAAGCCGGTGATATTACCCAGTGTGCACTGTATGTTTTTTACAGGGTTTCCTAACATCCATGTACTGTAAGAAGAACAAGTTTAAAGTCTACTTCCGACATTCATAGGCCACAGCACATTCCTCTCTAACTATCATAAATGTTGTTATGTAAAGCAGTTGATACTGAATGTTCCATATGTGTTCACCTTGCCACGTACTAAATGAAAAAAACGCACCCTTACAACAGGATTAGAAACAGAGCTGTCAATCATTGATCCAGATAATGTTGTTTTGCTACACACACCTCAGTCAGGAATTGCATGAAAAAGTAGAATACACACACACAGACGGTCAGAGAAGTGGAGATAAGACGTCTGAACTTCACAGAGATCATAAAGTGCCATTACCAAGAACATAGCTCTGAAACCTTTTAGAGGTTCTGCAAAACACACACACACACACACACACACATTCCAACCTGGCATTGGTTTATTGAGAAATGGAGGAAGAAACCTTTTAGATCTAGTGACCAATTTGTAAAATCCCCTGATGTCATTAACTTGTTTATTGAATGGTTAGTTTGAAATCATTTGGATTTTCTTCCTTGAGTTTCTTCCAGAAGGAGGAAAGGAGCTTATTTGTCCCCAGTAAGACAACTTAAACATGGGGGGCAAACCCGCTGATTATCTGTATTTGCCTATTCTCCATCAACATGACCTGCATCTCTCTTCATTCCTCACGAACATGTTCTGGCACGTATTGTAACAGCTTTGTCCCTAAACAGGAACCTATACCTCTCCTTCGACCTTTTACAGAAATTGTTGTCTAGCGGAGTTCATTTCAGTCCATATAACTGTTGGGAAGTCTGTTCTGTCCCCCTGGCCCTCCACACACCTCAGGCCCCTCCAGAGGGGACGGGCTGCAGCAGTCTGTGGCCCCTCTGGTTGGTCTCTAGCCATTGCTCCCTGATTTCCTCCATGTCCCTTGTCTTGTGGACGAACGTGTAATACAATAATACAAAAAATTATATTAATAATGAAATGAAACAAGAGAATTATGATACTGTAGAAATGTAAGCAGTATTAAATTGATAAACTCAATATTATTGACTTACAAATATTAAAGACTATCTTTTTACATCTGACATACAAAATACATCTGTTATTAAAAAACAAAAACATAATAACAACAAATTGTTGTTAATAATAATAATTACATTTCTGTCTACTCTCCTGCCGGGGGTCCTGCCAACCCTATGTCCTGTGCCGTTGGAGGTTCCGCTGGGGGTCCTGCCAACTCTATGTCCTGTCCCGTTGGGGGTCCCGCCGACTACTCTTCTGCCGGGGGTCCTGCCAACCCTATGTCCTGTCCCGTTGGGGGTCCCACCGACTACTCTTCTGCCGGGGGTCCTGCCAACCCTATGTCCTGTGCCGTTGGGGGTCCCGCCGACTACTCTCCTGCCGGGGGTCCTGCCAACCCTATGTCCTGTCCCGTGTGGGGTCCCGCCGACTACTCTTCTGCCGGGGGTCCTGCCAACCCTGTGTCCTGTCCCGTTG